ATCCCCAGCTGCTCCCCGGCCACCGGAGGAGGGTCCCACATGGCGCGCAGACCTCTCCTGCCGCCCACTGTTCCCTTCAGCAGTGTGCTCCCCTCAGCAGTGTGCTCCCCTCAGCAGTGTACTTCGGTCCTTCTGCCTGCTCTGCTCCCTGCTCTGGCTCTGGTGAATTCTCTCACCCTCCCGCGCTTCTGACTGTAACCAGTGCATGTATAAACAAATAAACAAACAAATAAATAAATAAAATACGTGCCTCTTTAAAAAAAATAAATAAAATTAAAAAAAAAAAATAAAACACCAGCATTGTCAACATGAAAGAGTCAACCCTAGTGTAATTTGGTTTTCAATTGTGAAAATGTTATACAATTTCCTGAGTTCTTACGAAATTACGATTTTTATCATATTCTAAGAAAACAAGTCATATGTTCATTTTTTATTTTCTTGATTACTTCAAAAACATGTGTAGTTGATGAGATGCCTAGTCCCACGTATGCTTCTATTATGAGGGTTGTCCTATAGTTATGAAATGCTTTGTGATGGGTATATCTGAAAGAGTATGTCGAGATTGCCTGGCAAAGCGTGGTTATTTTGATCTGTTCCATCTTTCTTGCTGTCCGGCTAGTGCAAAGAGTGCAATTTCCCTTCCATATAATCCTTGGAAGCAGATTGCTGAATTAAAAGAGTCCTAACATTAGGTTGAAGGTGAAAATAATTCCTTCAGGGAGTAATGTATAGGTATAGTCTGCAGAACTAAGCTGATAAGTGATGACATTGCATCAGGAGGTTACAATAATAGGATCACCTTAAATTAAGTCCTCTGAATGAATAAAAAAAAAAACCTATTACTCTGAGGTTCACCTCAGCCTTGTAAAATATCTGGAACATGAGAGGTTCTAGAAAAATGTCAAATAGATGACAGAGAAATGGGATATTCTTATGAAGCAGTCATAAACTCAAGGGTTATTATATATGACTTTTTTTTCATTCAGCATGCATTTATTGGCCTCTCACTATGCGCTGGACTCTGTTCAAGGTGATGTAGCAGTGAATCAAAGAACAAAGTCTTTGTCCTTAGGAACCTTGCTTTACAATGGTGGAGATAGATGGTTAGAAGTTTTTTTTGTTCTTTTTGTTTTTTTAAGAAAGCAAGCAGGAAGGTATTCTGAAGCATCATGATAGGTGATAAAATGTTAGATAGAGTGACCCATTCATGAATTATAAAACTAAGAATTTGTACACACAAAAGATTATGATATTTAACACCATTCAATCAATATAGTACAAAGGGCATGTGTAGGGGAAGGAGACAGACTGAGTTCCAGGTCTGGTGCAACCACTCATTTGCTGGGCAGTTCCTTCCTCTGGGCTCAGCACCCAGTTCTCAGACGTGCAGACTGGGCCGATTCCAAACCCCATTTAGCTTTAAAAATTTGTGGGTATTAATGTTTCTTTGATGATTTAGAAGACCCTTCAAAATACTTTTTTCATTTATTTTTATTGCTATTGAAGTACCATTACTTTACATCTTGCTGGTGTTTCGGCTGTATAAGGATTCCCCCAGGTGTAGTCACAGTAGCTCTCCCTCCACCAAAGTACCCCGAGTGCTCCACCATTGTGCTCTCCCCAAATTGTGTTCTCCCCCAACCTTAGTTTCATTCCTCTCCCTCCCCCTCCCCCTGTGAAAGCTGAAGAGCAATGATCAATTTTCAAGAGCTGGTTTTAAAGTTTGTCTGATCCTTTGTTTGGTTTCTCTATATTCCAGAAAGTAACACCTTCAGTGTTTATCTTTCTCCTTCTGGCTTATTTAACTTAGTATAATCCCTTCCAGTTCTTTCAATTTCCCCGAGGTTGTTGATATGAAAACCAATCACTATTAAACTCATTTTATTTAAGCTTTCTGGTCATTTAGATTTGGGGTCAATTGCAATTTTGGGCCTATATAGTATGTATAGTGAAATGAGGTTGTTGTGATCTGAATGTGTGCAGCCCTGCAAAATTCATATGCTGGAGTCCTATGCCTGCTGTGATGGCATTTGGAAGTGGGACCTTTGGGAGGTGACTAGGTCTTGAGAGTGAAGCCCTCATGGGTGGGATCCCCTTATAAAATGCCCTTATAAAGGAGACTTACTAGATCCCTCCCACCCAGTGAGGGCACAATGCAAAGTCAGCAGCCTGGAAGAGGCCCTCGTCCAACCATGTCAACACTCTGATCTGAGACTTCCAGCCTGCAAAACTGTGAGAAATAAGTCCCTGGTGTTTAGAAACCACCCAGTCTGTGGGATGTTATAGCAGCACCAGTGCACCAAGGCAGGGGTATTGTATGTTATCGGTTATGAAACTGCTATTCCATTGTAATCATTTTCTTCTATAATTTCAGGTAAGGCAATTTGACTCTCTCCATTGGAGATAAATACAGGGAGAGAGCAATTTATATAGTATGAGTTGATTATAGTGCATGTTACTACAATTTAGTAGTGAAAAAGCCTTGTTAGAATCACATATTCACTATGACACCTTTTTCCTGACACGATTCATTGTGCTTAGAAATTGTCAGAGGAGATGTAATTATCCAAGATGCTGAGAATGCTTGCCATAAACTAGTCTGCATGTTATGAATCCATGGCATCTTCACACCAAGTCAATTTCCAGGCAGCGTTGAATATAGCCAGAACTGCTGTTCCTGGTATGAGAGCTAAGTTTCCTGAATTCAAAAGAAATGTGATTTTTGCCACAGTATTGGGATTATACTTTTAACTTGCCAAGGCAAAAGCTTAATTTTCATGGAGAAAGTAGTTCTTTAGATAACTTTAGTATATTATTTGGGGGAGGTAACGGGAATGGGGAGACTCTGGTGCTCTGTAAGCAATTATTTGCTCTGCTGATAAAAAGTGTTTTGCTGCTATAAAAAGGGGTGTTGGTAGCCTGAAAATAGGTTTTGATTTCATCATTGTACTAGGGTTCTGGGAAAACAGACTGTTCTTTTGAATTTCTAAACAATTATAATTTGTCTAAGACATTTGCACACTCATGATAAGTAACACATCTTGATAAGAAAGCCTTGCATTGGCACACCGCAGAAGAAAGACCACTGCATAGATCACAAGTGAAGTTATATTTAAATTAAATTAAGTGGGCACCAAGGAATTTGAGAAGATAGGGAAAGAAGAGGTAATTGTAGTAGTAAACAGTCTGAGGCATAGAAATGGAAATGTAAACTCTGTATAAACTCTGCAAATTTAACAGTCATTTGATGCCTTAAATGATTTTATTAATTTCTCTCAAGTTTTGAATAGGAGCAAGTCATGATTTAATGAAAATGTCATGGAAAGAAATCAACATATGCATCATATCTGAGGAAGAAATATCCTTGTATATGTCACATTGAGACCAAAGGGTATTTCCTGGGTCCTTGCTGCACAAAGTGTGGTCTGTGGACCGCAGTAGTCAGGATCCTAGATCTTGATAGAAATACAGAACTGAGATTCTATTCTAGACCTATCGCTTCTCGGCCTTTTGGCTAAGATCAAGTGTAGTATCTATTCTAGACCTGCTGAAGCAGAATCTCTATTTGCTAAAGCCCCCAGGTGGTATTTATGCATGATGAAGTTTAAGAATCACTGCTTTGGAGTTGTCATAGCACTTCATTCATTCATCAATCAACAGATTTTGGAGCCCCTTTTGTGTGCCAGGCTTTAAATTAAGCAATAGAAGGGAAAGAAGATCCCTGGACTCAAGGAGCACATTATTAGATTGGCATAGATGAGATGTATTTACAGAATTAATAGGCTTTGTGCTTGATTGTGGGCTGCCATGATGGAGAATGTGGATGACACCCCAGTATTAACTGTGGGACAAGAGTGCAGGTGGTGCATTTATAACAGACTTGGGGGGAAAGAGAATGTGTCTAGTCTTAAAACACTGACGTTTGAAGCAGCTGTGAAATTTGGAGGTGGAAATGTCCAGTGGCAGTTGAGTTGGCAAACTATGGTTCCACAGACTAAACCATCTTACTCTCTCTTCGTTTTGGCAAACAAATTTAGCCATGCTCATTGGCTCATACACTGTCTATGGCTGCTTTCATCCTGTAAGTGCAGAAGTTGATTTAGTGCAACAAGCTGTGTGGTTCACAGAGCCTGAAATATTTCCCCCCTGTCTTATACAGGAAAAGTTGGCTGACTCCTGTCCTAGACCTCAGATTTTGGGTTAAAAGCAAGTATGTGGAATTAACATAAGCTGGGGGGAAGATCTGAGTCCTGGCTGAGTATAGATGAAGAGAGAAGTATAAAGAGCAAGCAAGGTCAGAGCCCAGGAGACACTGTTCCACATGCTTTCTGTGCCTGGGGTAGTTCTCTTGGTCATTCAAAATCTTTTATTCTTTCTTCCCTCCCTTCTTTTTCTTTTCTCTTGCCTTGGCATTGACAAATTTATTAAGCCAAGAAACTTGTACTAGTTCAGTGGACCATCCTAAATGTAATTTATAATCCTAATAATTTAGCAGATTCTGTATGGTAGCTAATAACCATCACCTTTCAACGAAAGCTGCAAGTCACATAATAGTTTGAGCCTAATTATCATAAAGGAATCTCATCTTCTCATGAAATAGAAATATTTAATTTTCCCATAAATTTCTTTGGCTTGACCTCTGTGGCTGGCAGGGTATGCAGAGGGGCTACAGCCTCTACACAGTTCCTCCCACTTGATAAGGACTCCAAAGCAGTGGTGACCATAAGCCGTCATGTTCTAGGTGCTCTGCCCAGTGGTGCATCTGCCACATCCCTCAGGTACATGGAAGAGGTGAGACAGAGGGGGGCTGAAAAGGCAAGCAGGCTGCTCCTGGAGCAGAAGATGGTTTAGGGCATAAAAAGGGCATGCGATGTCTGTAAATCTAAAATCCATTTATTGCCAGATACTCATATGTAATTCTTAGAAATCATACCTAGGTCCATGCTCACAAAACATTTTAATGGAATCACTAACAAAAAGAAAGGGATTCAGGTCTCAGTTCTTAGGCCACCTTTATTAGATAAATAACAAAGATAGTGTTGAGTGCTAGGCTCCAAGGCCAGGTTGAGTGGTCTCTGGATGTGGAGGCGAAGAGGAGAAAAAATCTGGAGTGGGAGTCAGCTCAGGACTCTCTCCTTCCTCTGCAGAAATCAACTTACAGCTTATTTTCATATTAACCCAAAGGTGTTCTTTGTCTTTTTTGGTGCCAGGTGAACTTGATGGTACCTTCTCAGACATCCTCTGGCTTAACATCCTGGAGGACACAGTGACAATTTAACAGAGCTGCCAAAATGTTTGAATTTGATTTGATGTAAAGTGATTGCTTCTGAGAAACTTCTGTTGGTTGGTTGATAAACCTAAAAGCCAGTACGAGGTTAGCATGAGATTGTCATGGTAGATTAGAGGCACTGGGTCTGTCCCCATTTCCATAAAACGACTTCATTTTCAGCATTTCTGTCCAGTCCTTCTGACTGCCTGCAGCTGTCTGTTCACTATATTGCAGTGCTGAGGTTTTCTTATAGGGCCATGCCTCGTCCGGGCATTTGTTTACTCTGGAACTGAGTGGCACCAAACCTTTCATCACATCTTGCTTTTTCAGGGTGAATGAGCCTGTGTTATACTGCCTAGTTCTTTGTGCAGTGTCGCCTCCCCCACTCTCATCAGCTCCCATCTTTCCATTATTTTTGCATTTTCGTGACTCTCTACTGTGGGATAAAGTAGAGGGCTGATGAGCAGCATGACAACCATCGTATTTAGTGAGAAAATGGGCAATTCTTACATTCATTAGCTCACTGGACCCTTTTGGGAGGAAGAGCCCACAAATTTCTCTATTAAAGAAGTAGCCGAGGTTTAGAAAAGTTAAATAATTTGCCCAAAATATCATAGCCAGAAAGAAGCTGCATTAGAACCTCATCTGGTCTGTCAGACTGGAAGTGAGGCTCTTCCCCACAGACTTTGCACCTTACAGATTTATGTCCCAGAGCCACCAAAGTGCAGTTTCTGGTTTCAGCAGTTTCTGCCTCCAGGGAGGACATTCATTTGTCACTCCCCTCCCTTATGGTTCAGACACACTGCTAACCAGGGGTGACAGAATCCTACAGTTCTGAATACCAAGGGCATCCTCCCGAAGGTGACTTTTGGCTGGCATCTCCACAGATTGGTGGCTTTTACATTTTCTGCAATTATACTACAAAAAAAAAAAATCTCTATTGAAAGAGCAAAAGCCAAGTAAAGATTAAAGAAACTTCAAAATCAACAGAGCAACTTCTAGGGTAAGACAATGTTCCCCACGAACATCTACCAGTCAGTTGGACCCCAGATTCTAACTGGAATAGTAATATGAAGGACTATTCCTGGCTTGTAACTTGTTGTCATAACTGTCTTGCCACTTCTAGATGCCTCTTTTCCCCCAACGTTATGGGGGCGGGGGCGGGGGGGGGTGGTCATCTGGCCCTCTCCCACCATCCTTCTGATGTATACCTTCTTTTTGCCTCAGATCCTATTTGCAGGGATGCATCTGCTACAATATCAGAAACCACTTAGGTCCCAACTCTACTTATTCTCAAATACCAGGTTCTAAAATCACTTAAAATTAGACCCAATGCTGGGAGCAATTAAGTAAATTTCTCCCTCATGGGAAAAAGTGGCTCCTCTTAAAACTTGCTAAAGAAGGCTTTTTTTTTTTTTTTAAATACCCATTATCTCTTTTACAGAACAGTTCAGAGAAGATCTTTACAGATCATTAGCAACTCTGGTTCAAAGTTTTATTGGTGGAAAATAGTAGAAAATGTTTGCAGAGATTTCTAGGTAATTTGTGCATCTCATTTATACCAGCTTTTCTAATATTGCCCTGATATGAACAGCCCAAGACCTTAATGCAGGAGAACAGAGAGGACATTAATTTTGACCATCAAGTTAGAGACTTGCTGTGCTCTGTATTATGTGTGGAAGATCAATAAAAATTAACATACGAAATACATGCCAGGAGCCAGGTACTCATCTCATTGATAACTAATCTAGTCCCCACAGCTCTTTCGTGAGGGAGAAAGTACTCGTATGATCCCCATTTTATTTGCAGGGATGCATCTGCTATAATCAGAAACGCTCAGGTCCCAACTCTACTTGTTCTCAAATACCAGGTTCTAAATCACTTAAAATTAGACCCAATGCTGGGAGCAATTAAGTAAATTTCTCCCTCATGGGAAAAAGTGGCTTCTTTTAAAATTGCTAATTTAGGGCAATTAGGCACACAACAGTCAACCAATTTGCCCTAAGCCACACACTGATAGATAGAGGTGGGATTTGAACCCAGGCTATGGAGTTTCAGGGACTGTGCTCTCACTCCCTCCTGGCACAAGGACAAGGTTTAACACTTCTTTTACAGACCTTATTGATTAGTTAGAAAGACATTTGTCAATCTAACTTATGGAGCACTATGTTAAGCACCACAATAGAGTCACACAATAGAGTGTTCTTCAGCCCCGGATATTTTCACGGGAGACTAAAAGTCTTCTTGGAATTGCTTTTCATCAACCTCTCAGATAATTGAGGAAAATGAGATAAAATGAAGAGACGGACCCTAACCAAGCCATCTTCTGCTTTGTTATCACTGGTAGTTGAGTCAAATAGCTTTTCTCATGCTGCTTCCTAAGAGCTCTGCCTGTCTTCACCTGTAGGCCAGTGCCTTCTCGAAACTAAAAGTCTTCACTCGTTCCTTGATTACTGTTGCTTTCAAATGCTGTGTAACAGGGACAGTGTCCTGCAGAAAGATAAAATGTGACTTTTGCCCATTAAAATAGAGATTGGCGAAGGATCAGATTAAAAATTCCAAACTCCAGATTCCCGTCACAACAGAGTATCTTTTGCTAAATCTCCTCAAGCTTTGCCGACAAAATGGGCAAAATAAAACTTGCTTCCTCCTCCTCCTCACCTAGTGGGAGTATTGTAAAGATAAAAGGCAATAATTGGTGTGAAAATGCCCCGAGCTCCACAAATGAAAGCTCTTATAATCCCAACATATCATTAAACTGGCTTTATTGGGATTTCAATACGGTTCTGTGGCTCATAGAAGTAGATTTTACAGCTGGTAGAATGAAGTATCAGGACTTTATTCCAGAAAAGGTGATCACTGCAAATACAGTCAAGTTGATGTTATCCAAGTCAGCGACAGCCTAGAGTTAGAGGATGGATGTCCCCCAATTTGGAAGGCACTGTCTAGCCATGCTTGAAAATCTCCTATAATGGGGAACTCTGGCCCTCTGAAGCAGCCTTTGCAGACCGTTAGAATGTGCTTCCTAGTACAGGCACTGATTCTATTTCCCTACAGTCCTGGACCACTTAGAACATGTCCACACCCAGCCCTTCAGTTATATGAAGACATACACTCCATTTTATTGATGGGGGAGTCAGGCACAGAGCAATGAACCAACTTGCCCAAAGTCACACAATTAGTCTGGAGATGTTGTTTTTCCCGCTTCCTGCAACTGTATCTGCCATGTGAGGTTTTGAATCCTCACATTATATTCATTCTCCTCTAGATTGATCAGATATTACATAGAGTGTGGGCCCCAGAACCACACCCATCAGTCCAAATAGTCTGGTCAAATCAGACAGTCACTTTATCTTCCTGTTAACACAACTAAGATTAGCACTTTCTGGTACCTTCATCACAGCACATACTACAACTGCTGATGCTCCCAATTATTGCCTCTCAGTCTATACCATCTGTACCCTTGCCAAGCTATGTCTCCCTGACATTTGCAATGATTTTTTTTAAATCTTTGGCAAAAAGTTAAATGTATCCCTCTTAAATTTCATAGAATTTGGTACCATGCCGTTCAGATCTCTTTAGCTCTACATTTTGCCCTCAACTATATCATCAACCCCTATCAAGTGGTAAGCCAAGCTTCTGGGTCTTTCTCCCAACAAGGGTAAAGGGCATGCTTTTTGCAAGTATAGTGACATTTAATTAGATCATTGCTCGTGGACAGTTTTGTTAAAAGTGAGCTTGCTTTTCATTAACCCATTAATATAAATATTGTCTAGTATAAGGCCAAGAAATATTTTTGTCAACTAATTTGTGTTCTTTGTAATTGTCAATCATCAAGTTAAGAATCTGCATAAAAATTGGGCCTCCCCAGTGGTACAGCGGTTGAGCACTGGGCTGTAAAGCTGCCCGCAGCCTCTGCAGCACCGGTTCGATCCCCGGCCGCCGGGCGAGGATCCCACATGGCACGCAGACCTCTCCTGCCGCCCGCTGCTCCCCCCAGCAGTGTACTTCGTCCTTCTGCCTGTTCTGTTCCCCGCTCTGGCTCTGGTGAGTTCTCTCACCTCCCGCGCTTCTGACTGTTCCCAGTGCTTGTATAAATAAATTTTAAAAAAAAGGAAAAAAAATCTGCATAAATGTGTTGTGTTTTCTAACCTTGTCCAAAATGGTTTGTAAGGCCTATCTTGTCTGTTTTATTTTCTTTTTTATCCCAAACTTAGGACTTTATTCTGGAAGGAAACAACCGGCAATAGTGTGACTTGAGTTGAGACTGGGTTGGCTTGTATCTCTCCACCAGTATCTACTTCCTTATCCTTCCTTATAATATCCTTCCTTCCTTCCTTCCTTATAATCTATCCCAATTATATTTATTTTTTTAAAGATTTTTTATTTATTTATACAAGAGCTGGGGTACAGGCCAGAGGCGTGGGAGGGTGAGAGGATTGACCGGAGACAGAGCAGGGAACAGACTAGGCACACTGACTGAAATACACTGCTGAGTGGAGTAGTGGGCGAGACAGGAGAGGTCTGCCATGCCATGTGGGTATCTCCCTGGCCAGCCTGGAATTGAACCCATGCTGCAGAGGCTGCGGACAGCTTCACAGCGCTGCACTCAACCCACTGCACCACTAGTTTCAGAAACCAACTTCTAGCTCAACCACTCTACTTTGAGAATTTTCCTTTTCTCCCATTAAGATTTTGAGACATTTGCCTAAACCCTTGCTTTTGGCCGTCCTTGCATGATTATGTCTTCCTCAAAGGCCTCTGCCAGCAGCTTGCATATCTCCTTTGGTTTCCTCTGAGCTCAGAATGCCATTTGTCCAGGTGTGAGAGCTGAATTCAGTTTGATGGTCTCCTTTTAGCCATTTCATCACACCTTGGGTTCTACTTTCTTTCCCAGCCTTTGTTTTGTCCTCTGCAATCCAAACACTGTTTTCCTTGGTAGGGAAGCCAGTGCCAATTGGGAAAGGAATTATACCTACCGGACATTTATTAGCATCACACCATGGATTCCAGGCCTTCTCTGATGTTCTCCTGGTTCTGAGCCTCACCATATCCCTTTAAATGCTATTTTCAATCTTTTAATGACCCTTATTATAATACAGATGTCTCTGGGATGGGTCGCTAACCATACCTCTCAGCCTGTGCAGTTTCAGGAGTGAGGGTGAGTTTTAAGGGAAGATATCCTTACCTGCTCACGTGTGGCTGGGTTGAAACACTTGACCTTCCTGGGACATTATATCTGGTGCCACTAAATGGAGAAGCCCCCAAGCTTGCTTCCATTAGGTGGATGCTCTGCTCCTGAAATAATATTTGTGGGAACTATAGGTAGAAGAACTGCAGCACAAAGGATTAGGATTAAGAGATTCGGCCATATCCCCCATATCTGCTTCCTTAATCAATAAAATGAGAAAGTTAAATCAACTTCAACTCATCTGTAAGTTCATTCCAAGCATGATTTTCTAATACTTTATCCTAATCTAATCCCACCTTTTCCACTCTGGTTGGCTCTGTGTTCTACATGCAAGTTACATCACCTTTTAGGCCTTAGTTTCCTTAGGAATGAATAGTTCCGTGGTTTTCTAAAGGAGAAATACTCACTGTGAACTAGGAGAAGGCCAGGGATGTTGAAGCAGGACATCCTGTCCTCTCCCTGCCTGTTCAACCAAAACAACTCAATATTTACCCATTGGCCCTCTGCATAGGCTGTCATTAAGAGAAAGGAATTTGTTTTTGTTCCTTTTGCCTACTAATGGAAGGCATCTTAGTATAGTCCCTATAGTAAAATACTACAAAGGACTCTAAAACCCCCAACTTACTCCAAAATTAGATAACTAGCTCTTTGAGATCAATATTTTGTTGTTTTTATATTCTCATTACCTTTCATAGAGTCCAATGTACAGTAGCTATTTAAAACGCTTGTTGGATAAATATGTAATGATAATAATGGTTATTTTAATGAGTTCTTCCATTCCAGGTTTTAGTGGGTTACCTCAGTCAACCCTAAGTTAAACCTATTGGGTGAATATTATTTTTGTCCTCATTCTACAGATCCAGCAGTGGAAGTACGAGGACTTGAATTAATGGAGACAGTCTGATATCTATCAGAACCAAGGCTCTTAATCACCTGGCTACCTGGCTTGTTTCTGCCTATGGAACATACTAAGTAGAACAAGGGGTGAGGAGGCTGAAAAGCAGTGCTAATAGGAAAGGGAGTATCAATCTGAAGTTACTAACCGGAGAATATGAGGGGGTGATTCAATATGTAAAAGAAAGGACTTAGATATGAGGTTGAATGTCAATTCCATAGACGTGAGTGTTCCAGAACACTAGCATCAACATGCCCTGAGAATTTTCAGGAAAACAAATTCTCAGGCCCCCTTCTGAAATGGAAAAGTTGGAGGGGAGATATGGGAGTTCATGCTTTCATAGGCCCTCCAGAAGATTCTGATGCACTCTGATGTTTGAGAACCACTGCTGTGGAGCAACATGATTTTGACTTTGGTTTTGCCTCTGAAGAGTGGTAAAGCTTTGGATTTTTCTCACTGTCAGGATAAAAGTTCCAAATTGACACCAACATTGACCTCTTTGATATTTTAAAGATTAGGCTGGACAGAATGTTTGCTTGGACTGAGAGTCTCGAAGTATCAGGTTCCTCTTCCACGTTCTGTTTCGTCTATAACCTCAGGCCCATCACATAACTCTTGATTCTCGGCCTGTAAAATGCGGTTAATGATGCCACGCCCTCTTATTGGGGCAGCCAAAGAAATGTGTAATTAGTGGTTGTGAGACACCTGGAACCCAGAGCGTCATATAAATCCTGTAGGATAATACCAGTGTATAACCTAAAATACTGCCTACAACTTGACATATTTAACTTTTTTTTCTGGGAATTGCAAAGTTTAACATTAATTTAACAGCTTGGTATTTGTGCTAACTTTTTATTCATCCTTTAGTCTCCAAATTTGTGTGCATGTGGCCTGCCTCCAACCTGGGAGAGAAAGTGTGTGTGTGTTTTGTTTTGTTTTGAATCAGGACATTCTGAGAAAATAATCTCTCCAAAACCTAGTGTTTGGTTGATTGTTAGACTTGGATCCTGAAGAACTTGTGAACAGAAAGATGAGGGAGATGCTGGGCACAGCGGCAGCAGAGGAGCCTTGGTCGCACTGGGTCTTGAGGATCCGAGCTGCAACTATTTGGTCTTTTGAGCATTTTCATTTCTCTTCAACTTTCTTTTTTTAAAATTTATTTTTTTATATTGTTGTTCATTTTTGTGCAATATTTGATTTCTCCTCTCAAGTGTAGTCCCCATAAATCTCTCATCTCCACCTCACCGGGCACTGTCACCATACACCATAGTCTTAGTCTCTTGTGCTCTCCCCTCCCCTGCTTTGACCCCCTCCCTCCCTCTCCCCTGCTGTATGTCTCAGATCTAGAATTTGCCTGCTAGTTTTGTCATCCCCCTACCTCAACCCTTTGTTCAGTTTCCCTGTATTTCTTTTTTTTTTTTTAAATGATTCTTTTTTTTTTTATAGAGGCATGTTTTATTTATCTATTTGTTTGTTTGTTTGTTTGTTTATACATGCACTGGGTACAGTCAGAAGCGAGGGAGGGTGAGAGAATTCACCAGAGCCAGAGCGGGGAGCAGAGCAGGCAGAAGGACTGAAGCACACTGCTGAGGGGAGCAGCGGGCGGCAGGAGAGGTCTGCGCGCCATGTGGGACCCTCCTCCAGTGGCCGGGGAGCAACCGGGGATCGAACCCGCGCTGCAGAGGCCGCGGGCAGCTTTGCAACCCAGCGCTCAACCGCTGCGCCACCGGGGAGGCCCAGTTTCCCTGTATTTCACCTATAAATGAAACCATCCGATATTTTTTTCTTTCTGACTTTCTGACTCTCTATTCAAGTTTCTAAGTGTGACACTCCCTTTCCCACAGAGCCTGAGAAGTCTGAAGAATATTTTCTACTTGATCATTCTTTACTCAGTGTAGGGAAATACTTCCCTTTTAAGGCAAGATTCCTTGTCTCATGTATACACTCATTTTAGATTAGATTTACATGATTTACATGACTGGTTCATTTTACTCTAGTATAAAGTCTCCCCCACCCCCACCCCCTTAAGCAGATGAATGGGCCAAAAAAGACCCAGATGGAAACACAGCAAAAACATTTCTTTCTTTTTTTTTTTTTAATTACAGATGACTTATTTTTTCTTTTTCTTTTTAAAGATTTATTTATTTATTTATACAAGCACTGGGTACAGTCAGAAGCGTGCAAGGGTGAGAGAATTCACCAGAGCCAGAGCGGGGAACAGAACAGGCAGACGGACGAAATACACGCTGAGGGGAGCAGCAGGCGCGGCAGGAGAGGTCTGTCACGCCATGTAGGACCCTTGCAGGTGGCCGGGGATCAAACCGGCCCTGCAGAGGCTGCGGGCAGCTTTGCAGCCCAGCACTCAACTGCTGTGCCACCAGGGGAGGCCCAGCAAAAGCATTTTTCTTGAGAGTTTGACTAAAGTGAGTTGATATGGAGGATACAGATGTGGTAGGTGAAGGCATGCATATAAACAGAGGCTTTTATAACAGTGTGGTATGAAGAGAAACATTTAAATGCTAACTAAGCATAGTTTTTGTTTTGTATGTTATAACTTTTAATATTGGAGCACAATTACTGAGCTGGGGGGAAAAAAAGCCCTCCACCCTTTTATTGTCATTTCCTGACATTTTAAAATACACATTATTACTGAATTAAAAAAAAAAAAAGAACAGCAAAAAAGGGATCAGCCAGATCCTGAATCAATTCACTAATTTATAAACTGAGTGGTAAGTAAACAGGCTTGTTTCTCCTCTTGCCTTATGCTAGAGGTCCGCTTACAATAGTCTAAAATAACAAGTTGAGACATGCTTTCATAATTGGAAATAGGAAAGAAATCCAGCCATCTGCTAATGGAAAGAAAAGTTTTGCAATAAAGTTAACAGCTGCTGTCATTTCTGAAGAAACATCTCTAAATTTGTTGGGAGAACACTAATGTAATTATGATACTAAAATACTTCAGGATGCCATTAACTAACTATGACTGACCTGGCGGTCATGTTCTCACTTAGAAGCATGTGGAATCCTTTCAGAAGCTAGTCTGACTTTACAACTGTCTGGAATTATGCATTGCAGACTGCAGTGTTTCCTTTTCAAGTCCAAATAAGTTGAAATGAATTGCATGGCCAATTCTCTGTTAGGGGAAAGAAAGTGCATCCAGGAACCTTGTCTTCCCTTTCCTTGGAAAGCATCAACTGACCCCCAGAATGGCTTCTGATTGCCCCAAGTTTAATGGCAATTTGCTAAGCATGACAGTGAAATGAAGTAGTAGCATGTCTGGCAATTTGTGAGTGTTGACAGCAAACACAAAGGAAGAGCTGAACTCTCCCATCCTCCACTCTGGCATTAATCCTTCAGATAAGGTAAGAAAAATGATCAGCCATTGGGACAACCTGCCTCTCGTAATAGAAGGTGGTCCATCAAGAGATATGTTCTTATTTTTCTGATCACCTTTATTCTCTGGCCCTGGCTTTTCTTATCAGGTATAAGTTATTTCCAACATATCTGAAATTACTCTAAGAAGATCAATAAAACTGTGGTGAGGAAAGAGAATATCATTTCACCACCCTCACTTCTGAAGGCCCCACACTTCTTGCATTGAATGTACTTCCTGCCAGCTCGGAAATAATTAATGTATACTGGGTATTTAACTACAGAAACTTATCACGATATAAGTGCATTTAATCATTGTTTGGATAATCTTAAAGCATTTTAATATTACAGCATCAGTGGCAAATACCACAAAGAAAACACTGATTGAATTTGGCAATTTAAAGATACCTCTTTTACTTTTTGAAACAGCAACTGTTGCTTTTCAGAAAAGAAATACTAGTTTCACGAGGACAGTTTTTTTTTTTTTCACCCCCTTGAGAATAGTTTTCTATAGTTTCTCTCTGTTTGAACTCCCAGAGCTCTCGCTGTCTGTATTATTCATTTCTCACCTTGCAATGCCTTCTTGCATGTGCTGCTGGTTCTCTCTAGGCCCTTACCTGATCAGACTACAAACTTCTTAAAGGTCAGCATCATCTTTCTTTCTCAAAGTGTCCAAATCAGTAATTTTTCAGGCAGTTACAACAAGATTTTATGTATTTAATCACTTTTAATGATCCAACCCATTTCTTATTAAAAATGTGAGATCCACTTCTTTCAGTTTTAGTATCAGAAAGTCATCTTGAAACCTGGTATGTCTGTCTGTCTTGTTTCTAAAATAACTCTGGTTTCATCGCACAGCGGTCTTTCATGAAGTACTTCAAACCTAGCCCTGCGGGTAGAAGGTGGCATATGTACTACACCAAATAAGACTGATTGGAATCAGTTTGCTGGATGGAATGAGCTTTATCCTAACACATAGGGTCAGCTTAGGTAATTTCTGTGTGAACATAATTGGGAATTATTATTATTACTCAGCAGAACTTGCCACAATTGCAATATAAGAGAGTGTCCTTTCTAGATGGATAGCTATTTATTTACTACAATTAATAAAGGGCTCATGAAGTTGGCCTTGTGCTTAAAATTTAATTTTGGTCACTGCTTGACCTTCAAGAGACAAATTTATGTTCTTGGATGTTGTTTATGTGTGCGTGTTTGTGCATTTATGGAAAACAAAGGAATCAATTTAGTATATAAGGCATATCATTTAAATTCTCAGAAACCCCATAATTGCAGGTTTGTGGCATGCATAGTATATGAAGAAAAGGAAAATAGCCCACTAAACTTTGAGACCCTGTTCTGTTCTGAATACATCACAAAGGAGCAAAGAGGGAATGTTGGTGATCTTGTTGTCATTTTTATTTTTAGAAAACCTAATGAGAGCCTCTCAGATGAAAGCCTCCTTACATTGAGTCAATTTAGAAGTGGTGTATGGTATATCATGGGGATTTATTACAGATGTGAAATTATGCAGTACATATCAAGGGTAAATGTTTATTCATATTCTAAATTTAACTTGCCAATGTGTAAAGGTTGCATTTGGAAGTGAATTTGCAGTTTTGACTTGTGGGCTTAAAACTCTCCCTGCAGTGCCCTCTGGACAAAGGCAGAGCTATAGAGAAGGATATCCAAACTTCAGCCTCTCCTATGGGCAATGGATTTGAAATCAGTTTATTGAAAAATGAGTCAAACTCCCTATGAAAATAAATGCCCTTAGTCATGGTTAGGTTTTGTTTCAGGTATTTTAGCCTTTCTATGATCTAAGGTATGGTAAATTTCATTCCTCTCCCCAGCCCCCC